TTCAAACGTTATTCTAGCTGACACTTCGCATTTGAAATTCATGAAATGTTGCGCAATTTCTAATACGAGGTGTCACTTTACTATGGACATTTAAATAATATATATGTATGTAAACAAAACAAAAGTTTTTAAAATGATGCAAAAATAATCTCTCTTTTTTTTAAATAATAAAAAAAAAATTAAAAATATCTCTTTTATATTAATATATCGATAATGAAGTGTTTTTTTGTTTACTTACAGTCTCCGGTGGAAATCGATTGTTGGTCACTAATGTCCATCTCTGCAGTCGGAGGTCGTGCGTGATTTGTGATCTTTTCCCGGGAACTTTGTAACCCGAGTCGTTGGGCTGACGACGACGACGACGATGATGATGACGAGGAGAGGATGGCGTTGGGCGACGTCGACTTGGTCGTCGTCGGCAGCGGGGGCGGTGGCGGCACGTGCTGCGCAGGGTAGGACACACCGAGGGCGGGAGGAGCAAGCGGGTGGGGCGTCAGTAACTGGTTCGCCTTACTCGTAGCGGACGAGGCGGCGGAGGCGTTGCTGGTGGTCAGGATGAAAGAAGACGTTGGGCGTTTGTATGGTTGATAAGAATGTCGCTGTGATTGCGAAAGGTTGTGCTGAGGAGGTCGGTGATTGCTGCTTACACTGTTGTCAGTGTTGTTGTTGTTGTTGTTATTATTATTATTGTTGTTGCTGTTGTTGTTACTTAGCCTTCGTTGCTGTTGTTGCTGTTGCTGTTGGTAGTAGTAATAGTAATAATAATAATGGTGATGGTGGAATTGCGGCTGACTTCTGAGCGATGGGTGATGTAACGGAACCGGTGGGGTAATCGGGGTCGGTTGCAGGAGGAAAGGGTGGGTTGCGGGCAGGTAGGAAGTGGGAGGAGATATGAGTGGAGGGGGTGGAGGAGGAGGAGGAGGGAAGAAGCGTGATCTTGAAGAGACAAGGGCGGAGGTGGTTGAGGTCGACGAAGGGCCGGTGGCGGCCTGAGGTGGCGATGAGGAAGAGAGCGGCGAGCTGGTGAACGATGTAGGTAGAAGATCGGGCGAGGGGGTCGATCGGAGAGGAAGGGCCAGAGGAGGAGAAGAGGAGTGGGGTAGGGGTGGAGGTGAAGGGGAGAGAGAGAGAGGAGGAGACGGGTGAGAGAGGGGAGGAGAGGGAGAAGAGGCCGTGGGGCTGAGCGTAGCGACGGCAATAGTGGTACTTGTAGCGGCAACAGACGGGTTGGGAGCTACCCCGTTGCCCGTTGGCGGAGACACCACACCCGACCTCAGTGTTGTCGACAAGGACGCTAGCAGTGGTGGTGTCAATTCGGGTGTGATTACAGGTGGAGACGGGTGCGAGGCAGGTGAAGGCGATGCCGATTTTATGGACTCAGGTAATGGAGGTGTCGGTGGTGGCGACGAGGAAGGCGAATGAGTTTTCTCAGCGTCGAGTGCCGTCCGTAAGGCCACGGTTACAATGCGTAACTACCGCTCAATACTGTTAATCGGGTGGATACGAAGAGATTTAAAAACAATTCTAATGAAATAAAAATTTTAAAAAATGAAAATAAAAACAGCTAAAACAAAATTTAAAAAAAACGAAAAATATTTCCCTCTCAGAGCGATGAATTTAAAGTTTTGATTGAGAAGCAAAACAGTATTCCTTATCCAAATAAATAATAGTTTAATTCGTCCGTAAAAGCCGGGTTGTACACGAGTATTGTCAATAATATGAATATATTGTGAGTGTTTTCTCACTGTGAAATTATTACTGAAACTCTTTGTATATTTGTCAAATAAATCATATACATATATATAAATATATCTATATCTATATGTAGATAAGACTGCGTGTTGATATGTCTATCGGTTAATTCTAACTAGTGATATAATTAAACTGTAATATATATATATATATATATATATATATATATATATATATATATATATATAAATAAATATCTATGTAGATATATCTAAATAATTATATCTACATAGATATTTAATCAGATTGTATTTAAATGCAACTAGCTTCAAAATGGTTTGAATTTTTTCTTTTGAAGTAGACGTTAAACAATTTGGCAGAAGTAAAATATTTAATGATATGAATTAACCAAAAATGTCTTGATAGAACAGTTTTTTTTATGTTTTCTTATGTATTTCCAATAATGACAAAAATCAACATATTAAAAAAGTAATGTATATACCTCGCTTAATCCAACCTACTTTGTTTAACTCTTGTGATTATAATGACTGCAATATCCTTTTTTTTTTCTTATTTTTTTAATTCAGAATTTTTATAAGTTTTTAATAATGTTTGTGTATTATTTCAAAGGTAATGTTAGAAATTGCCTTAGAGATCCGTAGGGCTGTTGTGTGCACGCATCTGTGTTTGTGCATATGTGGGTGTGTGTATGTGTGTGTGTTATTTTTTGTTTTTTGACCGCGTATTGCGGGATCAAATTAATAATGATAATGATGAAAAAAGAGGACAAATTAATAGATGTATACAT